CACAATGATTTTGAACCTAGACTTAGTAGGCCTCTTTCAAAACATATGTGGAACCCTTTTGTAATAACAAGCAAGTCATGTAGATTAAAAATAAAAAAAGAACGACAAACCGCCTGCAGCCTAAATCTAAAAAAGAACAATTTGTCAGACTCGTGTGTGAATTCTGCAATGTCCTCTATCAGTCTAAAACGCAGCTCCCCAAACAATGGCAACTTTTAAGACTTGTGGAACTTCAACTCCCAGAATTCCTCAGTTGGCATGGCTTAAAAGTTGTAAATTTAAGGCCCACAAGTCTTAAAAAGCTGCCAAGTTTGGATACTTTTGGTCTAAAAGAGCAGATAAGAGGAAAGCAAAACATGGAATTGGAAGAATGAGAGGGAGGGACTCACTTGAGTTCAACATGCAACAATTAATCTCTGACAAAACAGACTTGTGGCAGAGAAATTTCCCCACCCATTTTAAAGAACTATAGCCAACTAACTTAAAAAAAAACAACACTACTTACAGGCCTGGGGGATGTGAAAGGCAATTTCCTTGTCCATTTTTAAACGGGTAGTGAGTTCCGATACTTCCCACGGCCTGAATTCCGGAGCAGTAGTGACATTTATTAAATATTCCAGCACAGTGTCACTAAATAAAGCAAGCAAAGAAAACTCACAATGTTTGTTTGTTTTTTTAAACAGAAAATCTATTAGTACTAAAATGTTCCACAATTTTTTATCAGGGAGAATGCTCACTGAATGAATTGAAAAAGGGAATATGTTACACAGCTAAATGCTTACATGTAATCACGCAAACATTCCACGGAATAAACCATGTTCTCCCGGGTAGCAGTCACACTAGAAAAAGAAAGAACAAAAACACACAACTTGCAGAACAGAAAATATATTGGAAATATCTGAAATCTTAGCATTTTGCCACATTGTGGAATGAATGAATGAATGAATGTTCATTCATTCACTAGTATTAAAGTGAGATTATCAAACCTACAGTCTAGCTGTTACAAATTGCCCATCTTCCATTACACTTGAGAAAATAGTTGTGCAAAACAAATCACTCAAATTCCCTCCGCAAACCCAGAAAATCTTTATGATAGCCTCAATTTTGATTATTAAATCTGAAAGCCTTCCTGTTTTCCTGTTTGTTTAAAGCCTTTCCTGCTTTAGGTTGCCCTGCCATGAGCTATTCAAATTCCTTAGCAGTTCATTTGATAAAATGCAAAACTCCAACATAGGCCTTTTCATTAAAAAAAAAGAAGCACCTTGCGAGCAAATCGCTCGTGAGAATCCATTTCCCCAAACCCTTCCAAAAAAAAAAAAAAAAAGAGGCGAACCTTTGATAACAAACCTGAGATTAGCAGCAACGCTATCGATGCCCGTGACAATCTTGAAAGAAGAAGCTCCCTTTGTGGTCTGATGAAAGAAGGGGACAAAAGGTTTAAGATTCTGAGCTGTAACTATCAAGGCAGAAGGGAGCTATCAAGAAATGTAGCTTTGGCGAATGTATGCCAGTAGGTGGTTGTGTCTTTAAATACAAATGATTTCAGACAAAAGCACGTTTAAACAATTGTAGTTAAATGAGAATTGTGGTACACTGATAG